GCGCAGGGTGCGGGCCCCGCCGGCCGCTGCGCGCCCGCTGCCATGGCTTTCCGCAGGAGGACGAAAAGTTACCCGCTCTTCAGCCAGGAGTTCGTCATCCACAACCATGCGGACATCGGCTTTTGCCTGGTGCTCTGCGTCCTCATCGGGCTTATGTTCGAGGTGAGAGAGACTGGGGAGAGGGGTGCCTGAGGGGCGGGCAGTGCCCCCTCTCGTGTGCCACGGGTCTTACCCATGCAGGTCCCCGAGGTCCTTGTCTGAACTGAGGAGCCTGGCGTTATCTGCACCCGGGCTTTGTGCACCGCGTACCCCCTCTTCCCCCCGCTCTGTGCGCTGTACCCCTGGCCTGTACCCCAGTCAGCCTAGGCAGCACCCTCAGCTCTGCGCCGTGCCAGCCGTGCCATGCTTTGCTGCCCCCTTGGGCACCCACCGTATCCTGCAGCTCTTTCTGCAGCCCTTAAACCCAAGCCTGGCTTTGAACCAACCGCCGCGCTGCCACCCTGGGCTGACGCGTGGGGTTTCCTTTCTGGCGTCCGGGAGCCAAGCCCAGAGACTCCCAGACTGTAGTCATTGCACAATCCGTACCCCCTCCCCCCCGCGGCGGTGGCCACTCGCTCTTCTGGGCTCTTCCAATGGGAGGAACCCTGACCCTTTTCCTCTTCTCATCTGATTTTGTGGATGTTTGCATCCTCAACTCTGGAAAGTGCTGGGGTGTTCACGTGTGGCCCTGGCCCCATCCCAGCAGTGACCTTCTGCTCTTCTCTTGCTTTCTCTCTTTTTGCTCTGACCTAAAGGGCCGGTTCTTGGATACCTTTTATCAGTCTGTGGACTGTCCCTTTAGATTCATCTGTGGTGGACCCAGAGCTTCACCCTCTTTGCAGGGGCAAGGATAGGCCAGGGGTACCCTCTGATCTTAGGGGAAAGGTGATTCTCTAGTAGCATAGGGTGGGGGTGGGTAGAGGATGGGATCTTATGCTGACAGCAATGTCCTGGTGTAGGCCTCCCACAACAGGAAGTTTTAATAAGCCAACAAGGGGTCAGAATCCAAGGGAAGAACTCCCTACTCTTGCAGAGTGAGAAAAAATGTGATATTCAAAAGTGGGAAGAACCTGAGGAAACTGAATATGGATTGGCTGCTGTATATCTTGTCTCAGAAGTGAGATGTGTGAATGAAACTCCCCTCAGCCTCACCATGGTCTCCTCTGGTTCCTCTGAGAGGACAACTTGTCCTCCCTTCTGGGTAGGGTTGCTTATCTATATTCTCAGGGTTAGGAAGCTGTAACAGTTTATAAACTTCCCTGGAGGTGGGAGATTCCTAGTGTGGCTAATTTCACCTTCCTTGTCCTTCTGTCTCTTGGTTCTCTTGTCTCTACAGGTGGCCAGGGTCCTACTTGGCTGGTGAAGCTGCCCTCAAGCTGGGGACATTCTTGTGGTGGCTGAGTCAGGGTTGGATATGGGAATGTGTCCTTGGCTGGACCTTGGGGTCTGTAGGAAATAAACCTGGGATTAAGATGTGGGTCTGTACTTCATAGTTTTGTAGTGTTCATTTAGTTCATTCCCTCTCTTCTCCTTCCCACTCTACTCAGGGTATCAGTCTGTACTCTCATCACTAGTCTGACTGAAAATTGGCAATAGCCTCATGTTTCTCATCATTAGAGAAGTTTGTAAAACCTGTCCTTCTCATGGGGCAGTGGTGAAGTTTAACAGATCATGTCAGCAAAAAAAGCTATTAACATTTCTTGCTCCTGACGCTGTTATTATTTATCATAATAATAATTTAACAAAATAACATAGAATTTGTTTTGCCCAGCCAGTACCCTGGTGTCTATTTGCCATTTTCCATTCTAAGAGGCCTCCCAGTGCCATGTCCCCAGTCTTGGAGGGTGTGGCTGGAAAGACACACGTGACAGCTGTAAACCTCAAAGCCACACGCTGTGCAGTGGCCAAGTTTCTTATATAGCCTGTGGCTCTCTCTGCTGTATTTCTAGCATTTGTTAAGGTTTGTGGCTCTATCTGCTTTATCTTTGCTCAGAAAGAGCTGCCCGGAGTTTGAGCTTAGTAACTCTCTCCCTCTCTGCCTCTAGTCTCTCGGAATGTCCTGTTCATTAAACCCATCTCTGGGATTTGAATGGTGCCAGGAGCTCTTACTCTCAGTACTTGATAGAAGAGAAAGGCCCAGGGTGACAAAAACAAAACTGTAGCTCTCTCCCTTGGGACTGGAGTAGGGTGTGTGGCAAGAGCCCTGCAGGTCCCCTCTTCCCACCAGCTTCACCACCTCCTAGACCTACAGGTCTCACAGGGCAGGCATCTCTCTGAGGTGCTTTGAGGGCGTTGAGCAGTCTGCCCTAAACCTCCAGCCTGTGTTACTCTGTGCTGGGCACATGGTAGGTCCTTGCTGTCTATACCCATCTACTAACTCTCCACAGAGATGGGTATTCTTAGTGGTGGTGATGGGGATGGAGGAGTAAAATGGCGGGGGGGGGGTGCCTCATAATCCAGCACAGGACTTCCTGGGTATTATTACTCAGGGTGTCCTGGGTCCTCCCCTGGAGATGTATTGTGTGCATGGGTTGGTATGTAAGGATGCATATGGTGGGGTGGAGAGTCCAGATCAGAACTGAACACTTTTACTAGAAGTGAGGACAGAAGGAGAGAGGGAGAGGGAGAGTGGACATTAGGCCCCTGGGGTCTGACTTGACCAGGCTAGGACTCCTTTCAGAAGCTGAGCCAGGAAACTCCATTGTAATTCTTCCCACAAAGAGGGACTCCCCTGGCCACTTCTCCCTCTGGGGTCCCTGCCGTGACTCTGCCTGTGAGCTGGGTCCCTGTGTCCCCCAGCCTATGCCCAGGCATCCACAGCCCTTGCACCTCCACCTCACGCCTGCTGTGCTCCTCCCCTGCTCACTGGTCACTTCTTCCGCTTACAGGGCACCTTCCTTTCGCCCTCAGGGAGCCCAAGACTTTACTCCTCTGTCCCTAGAGAGATGATGACCTTAAATTCCTTTCCTTGTCACTTCCTTTTGGGAATGTACATGGAAGTCTGTCTCCCGCCTGCCCCACTTTTAGTTTATAGTTTTGGGCCATCCTATTTCCAAGGCAGGGGGCAGGTTCTTATCCCTGAACCTAGTTTTCTTCCCCATCCTATAGGCTGCTTGGAATAGAGGAGCTTCTCTGTGCAGCCACAGCACTTGGCTAAAAAATGTCAGGAATGTGGAACTTTATTTCCCCCTCCTTCCTTTCCAGCTTTCTCTTTCTTAACTCTGCGTTGGGGAGAGGTGGTACAGGAGGAGTTTTCTGCTCAGCTGTTTGGTCCTTTAGTCCTTTCTTAGGTGGAGTTTGGTCCGATCACCACTCATGGTGTGGGCACTGGTTGGGGGCGATGTGCGTCAGATTTGAAAGTAGCCCCCACCCCCTTGCCTTCCAGTGTCCTGTTCTGTGCCACATTTCAGACTGAAGCAGGCAGGGGAAGAGGAAAACTCTTCCATAAGCAAATGGAGAAGGAGGAAAAACGGGTGCATGGAAGAGAGAGGAAGCAATTTATATGCTACCTTTAAAATGTCATTTTGAGACAGAATTTTTTTTTTTAAAGCTCATTTATAGGTTCTGCAGCTGCGATGAACTGTTTCTAAAATTCTGAGCCTGTCATTTGTAGGTTTGGTTTCTGTCTGGTCTGTGATGACTTCAGGGTTTAGGCCTCAGAGGAATTCTTGGTAGTGGCTGGTTTTTGCTTTTTAATTGTTTTGGAGAGTGGTGTGGCAAATCTACCTTTTCTCAAGGAGCAACCTTCCCTGTTCCTGACACTGTGATTGACTTGTCATGATGAAATGGGAGCCCTTTGTGTCATAGCCATGGGTTCCGGGGTACCAATTCACACCCCTTCCCAAATATACCTGTGGGCATCATAACCTGAAACCATCATAACACAGTTCTTCATCTGTTGTGTTATTAAAAAGATGAATATAAATGGCACAGACAGACATCTGTGGATGTGGGTCATCTTTCTTTGACTACTTTCTCCTGTGCCTTTTTTTTTTTTTTTTTTTTTTTTTTTGAGACAGAACCTCAAGCTGTCACCCTGGGTAGAGTGCCATGACATCACAGCTCACAGCAACCTCCAACTCTGGGCTCAAGTGAGTCTCCTGTCTCTGCCTCCCAAGTAGCTGGGACTACCGGTGCCCGCCACAATGCCTGGCTATTTTTTGGTTGCAGCCATTATTGTTGTTTGGCGGGCCCGGGCTGGATTCGAACCCACCAGCTCAGGTGTATGTGGCTGGTGCCTTAGCCTCTTGAGCCACAGGCGCTGAGCCTCTCTGGTGCCTTTGAAGAAATCTCTTTGCCAGCTTTTATAGTTCTTAACATTATGCATCCTTCTCTAGCTTTTGACTTACTCTATCAGTGGTATTCTAGAAAAGTTATTCAGAGGAAATGGTCTGGAGGAGGGGTCACATACTCTCTTGAGCACCCTTCTTCTGTGGTTGGATTTCTGTGCTCATGCCTCAGTGATTTGAGCAGCAGAGCAGAAATTTGCAGCTGCATTTTCTGCTGGTCAGGCTTCAGCTGAAACCCTGTCTCATGGGATGTAAGGACTCAGTGGTCATTCTTATGTCTTCTCTTCGCAAAAATGTTATATTCAGAAAAGTAGCATTCATCAGTTAGTGACTTTTTAACCCTAACTGCAGGAATAAAGATCAATAGGGGTAAAAATAAGAATACCCAGCACTGTGCTTGGCACGTGGGTGCTTAACCGATGGTCTCAACAACCACACAGGTGACTGTTGCTATCGGTTTTGCTTTGGGTCTGTGAGTCAACCTTCCACTCACTGGGCATCCTGGTTGGATTTCATTTTAGAGATGATGTGTTTTGAGCTGGAGACCTTTCCTCCAAGTGCCCCAGTGCTAGCCGAGTACTGTCCAGATGGACCCATCTGTCTCTACCCCAGGTCCTTTACCGTGGAGCCATGTTCTGTGGTGTGACTGCTACACAGAGAACATGTGTCTTCTCGCAGACATCTCTCTTATTAGAACATGGGCTGTGTACCGGAGGGTCTTAGGGTCGCCACTTTCAGCTCTGCTGAGAAGTAAAAACCGTAAGAAGACTGCCTTGCAAGTTAAATAGGTACCACTTTTCTCTTGCTTGCTCTGTTGTCTGAACCCTTCGTCGC